GAAAGGCATGTAATACATGCTCAGTAAATGTTGAAGGAATGAATGACTTTCAAATCACGTAGGCCCATACATTAGAATTGCCTCATTCTGCCTCATACTGTACTCATAGTACAGTATCCCCACCTGGAGGCAGGTAGCATGATGGTGGTTCCCTCTCATTAACACCATTCTCATTGGCTAAGGATGACCCTACATGATCTAATCATCTCTATTATACTGCATTTATTAATACCATTCATTGTGTTACCAGTAGTAAATTTTTCTTAAAGTCATTTCACCTCATTCTGTTCTAGATGTTAAAGAAGCTTCCATACGGTAATCATCTTCTCTGTGTTCTCCTTCTTCTGTCCTACAGCAACTTATATTCTTTAAGCTTCAGGGAGGTTTGTCTTCTGACTTTATCAGACACAAGGACTGATTATTTCTGTCCATATGTTTTGTGCAGGAGCACAAAAATGAGGCAGCAAAAACATTTCTTTTCTTTATTGCTGATGCCCTGGAAAATTCTATGCCCTACAAAGAGAGAGGTTAACTGCTCTCCTCTACCACTCCAAGACAGAAATTAATGCAGTAGAAACAGTACTTTTTATTGCACCAGCATTCTTCACTTGGTCCACCTCCTGAAATCATATGTTTATTTTATACTTAAATTGGTTTGTATACATGTGCATTTTTCTGGAAAGGATCTATATCTTATTAGCTCCTTAGAGAAGTCACTGATTAAAAAAAAAAAAGAAGAAGAAGAAGCACCCTGAGCTTTGTATCCTGCTTTACTTCTTCTCCTGACTGAATCTGAGAAGCTGATTGGCTCCTTTCTCTAAACCACTTGGTGTTTTGACTCCCGGATGCTTCTTGAAACTTGTTTACAAATGGAATTGGTAAACAAGCCTCAGCGTAGCAGAAGCATTTTGAACCATATGAATAATAAATGCATTATAAAAATTCCTGTTTGAAAAAAGAGGCATCAGAGATAATTATGCAATGCACTTAGCTACTCAAGTTTAGTTATTAATATTATTAATACTATTTATTATTTCTCATTTCTTTTCTTCATGACCTGAGTGTGGTCACACTGGCTTTAGGGATTGGGTCCACAGTGTTAACTGAGAAGCCACCACCAAAATTTTTTTAAATCTCCAAACATTACTAAGAATAAGGCTTGGATTTAAGGCCTAAAAATAATTCAGTTGGAATGTGAAGTTGAGACACCATTATACAACAAGGCTTCTGGCATGTTTGTATATCTGTATAGATGATGTCAGCATACATACAATTATTACAATGCTTTGAGGGTTTATTTACAACATGACCTTTTAAAAATTCTTGGACACAAAAAGAAGTGGGTCTTCGTTAACCAGATTGTTCTTGTTTCTCTCACTTGCTTTGCCTATGAGATTTTAAAGATGTTTCTTCCTGCACTTCCTTCCTTCCTTCCTTGCACTCTGTGGGAATCTACAATCACTGCAACTTGAATGGATGCAAGTCCACACATCGCCAGAAGCAGAATCCTGCTAGGTTGTTTCTTTCCAAATCCGATATTTAACTGTGAACGCATTCTAGTGATTGTCCTCGCCTTTAACAGTAACTGAACGAACCCCTGCTTCCAAGGGGGAAAAAAAATAGATGCCAACATTTGGCAAACTTGATAGCTATGTTTCAATTTATACTCCACGGCACTTTGGGGGAAACCCTCTGGCCCTCGTCGCCGACCCACGTAAACACACACACTTTCGAAGATACGGGTGTTCTAGCAAAATCCCGAGCCGCCAAGCCAGGACTCTACTTAAAGAAAGATTTGACGGAGTTCTCAAGCTTCAGACCTCTAAGTGCCAGAGCTACAAGGCGCACCTGGGCTGATAAGGAGCGTGCAAAGGCTCTCAGGTGGGAATTCCTGGCACCGCCCCTATGCCGCTGGCGTAGGCACTGGAGCTCGGCGAGTCTCCACTTCTGGGTCGGGTTTGCTTGTTGAAGCCTCTAGTAGCTCAAAACTAAGTCTGCACCAAGAGCAGGCTTCGCGGTCCTTCAGCGGGAGCGAGAGCTCAGCGCCCTCCACCCTCATTCCTCCCCCCATCCCCTCCACCCTCCCTCTCTCCTGGAATCAGGGCTCTCCTAAAGGACACAGTGGGGAGGCCACGAGGCACTGCTGAAGAGTCCTCTGCAGACCAAACCCCCCAGGGCTGGAGGGAACTGGAAGGAACGAGTCCAGACCACGGGACCTTCCCTGGCTGTGGGCCGGCGCCCAGCTGTCCTTGACCTCCCCAGCAGTCGGAGGCGCGCGCCGGGGAAATGAAAGTAAAAACCTGTCTTGGCACGGACCCAGCTGAAAGCTGGCGACGAGTAGGTCGCATCCGCAGACAAGAGTGACAGACAGCGGGTCCTAGACAGGGTCACTGCGAAAAGTCAGACTCGCAGCGGACAAACTGAAAGAAAGCGATGAGAAATGGGAGACGAGCGAGAAAACCAGAATAGTTGGGACGGGGGAGGCTCCTGGAAACGAGCGGGCGTTCGGTAATAACCTGCAGTCTGCGCGGTGCGGGCCGACCAGCCGCCAAACCTCATCTACCGCGGCGACTGCCGGGAGGCCAGACCCGCAGCCAGAACCCAGCCAGTGCGCTGCGCTGCACCCTTCCGACCCTCGGCGTGTCCAGCCCAAGTCCGAGCCCAAGCCAGGGATCTGTCCCCCACCCGGAGCTGGAACTCAGGTGACTCCCCTGGGGAAGAGCCCTCAGAATAAATAGCTTCGAGGCGACCATTCCTTCCCCAAGTGCAATGTCCACCGGTCATTCCTGGGAGTGAAAAGGCGGCTGAGGCAGCAGTGCTCAGCTCAGGCCAGGCAAGGTCCGTGCGCGCCCCAGCGCCAGCCGTCTGTGCCCTGGGTCTCAGAACTAGTGTGGCAGGGCAGGTTATAGATGGGGAAGCTAGAAGGTGGGGTGTAACTTGTCCAAGTTCATACAGAGAATCGCTGTCGGGTGAGGACTGGAAGCTGGTCCACAGAGTTCTAGTGGTCCCGCACCCTCCTCCTCTCAGTCTAGACTCTCAGCTTCAGGACCGTATCCAGGGTAGTGGGTGACAGAACTACAGAAGCTCTCCTGCAAGGAGGGGGGAGTCCCGCGGGGCTAAGTTCACGCCCCAGTTTGGCCTCCAGAATTTAAGTAAGAAAGTGAAGTCAAGAAGCAGTGATGGAAGAGCATAAACGGGTGACAAACGTGTTTGGGGGTGATTCATCATGAACAGGCATAAATCCTTGGGCGGGGGCTAGGACTCTCCTCTCCCCCTTGAGGAGTTGATGGCCCCAGCCTAGAAAAATATCCATGCCGCGCCCCACTCCAGTCTGCTATGCATGCTTCCGGGCCGAGCTGTTCACCACCTTTGGTGTGACTTTGAGCAAATGCTTACCCCTCTGAACTTTAGTTTTCTCATTTCACCAAGTAGAAAAATGATGTTACCTTCCTTGTCTAACTCAAGGCTAGGTGTGAGGATCAAAGGAGATCAGGATGTGGCCATGGTTTGTAAAGTGTAAAGCGATTAACATACGTGAAGCATTAGTGTGCTCCTTGGCAGTAAATCCTCACGTTTACAAGGGGTGAATGAAGGCTCCAAGGGCAGTCAGGCAAACTCTCAGGTTGTAACCTTATAAGGCACAACTGGATTACAAGGGGGAAGAAACGAAACTGTATTCTTCGACCTAATTTTGGTTATTCCTATATTTCCAAATAGGCATGAAAATTCTGAAACTTCAGGTGACTTCCCACTCTAACTCCCAGTTCTCAAATCAGCCTTTCGGAGCCTTGCCCCTATTGCGAAATCTTACCAGTCCGTCCCCAGAATCCAGAGTCTCGGCAGATGGCGGGGGGTGGGGGGGGGGGCGGGTGGGAGGGGGCGCTGGCGAGCCCCCCCTCTTCTCAGGAGTGCTCTGTGCCTGCCCGTAAGGCTCCGCGGGAGTCTGAGGTCGCGGCCAGGTCAGGCACCAAGCCGGCACGGGGCGCGGTCCACTCGAGGCCACAGCTCCCGAGGCCTGGGGTTCGGGTCATCCACGTGGTACCCCGCGCTGGCTCTTGTAGTTCTGTGCCAGACCTTACACTCTGGGCTGCCTGGGTCCTAGGTAAGGACCCCAAGAGGTTGTACCGGCTCTGCTTCGTCCGGGCTTAAGGTCTGAACACTGTGCCCAGAGAATCAGTACGGGGGCAGTTCCTGCATCAGTCTCCTGGAGCTCATCTCTAAAACTTTCTAGGCACGAGGGACATCCCCCTCCTCAACCTACAAACCCCACACTCACGGGCAAGCAAAGCGCGCGCCCGATTACAGAGCGCGCGCCCAAGGGAAGGGAGGGAGGGAGTGAGGGCCGCCTAGGCCCCGCCCCCCGCGCTCTTATAAAGAGGAGGAACGCGAGCCGGCCACTCAGTGGTTTCTTGGTGACACTAGGCGAAACAGCTCGAACCTTGTCACTTTTGGCTTCTCACTGCAGCTTCGACGTCGGGGTTTTGCCACTGCCAGAGCGCCGTCTCAGACTTAATACTCCAAAGAATTTTGGCAGATCACCCCCTCAGCAGGTATGCACCGCGGGCGGGGCGGGTTAAAGTTTTGGGGGCTTGCCTAGAAGCGCTGAGTGAGGGGTACAATCTACTTTGCAGGGTCCTCTGCTGGGTGCGTCCCGCATCCCGAGCCCAGCTCGTGGACACAGCAGGAACTCCAGAGACCCAGTCCCCTCTGCTCCGTCAGCCAAATTCTGAGAAGTTGAGTGGGGAACCTCTGGGAGCCTGGCGCTGGGCAGCGGCCTCTCCTGCAGGGCCTGTCACCCGCTTGGCGGGTGCAAATGCCACTGGCGCCTCTCTGCGCCCCTGGGAGATAAGCGTCTGAGTCAGGCGGAGCGCAGGCTCACCCTGGCTGCGCTGGGGGGCCCCCCCGCTCGCCTCCTTGCCCCGCCCGGCGGTGCGGCAGGCCCAGACACTCAAGCTCTGCTCTTTTTTCTCCTTCCCCAGGGTCTGCGCATCGCCACCGGGATGAAGCTGGTTCCCGTCGCCCTCATGTACCTGGGCTCGCTCGCCTTCCTAGGTGCGGACGCCGCAAGGCTCGACGTGGCGGCAGAGTTCCGAAAGAAGTGAGTGGCTGGCAGCGCCTTCCCCAGTCCTGGTACCTGCAAGGCAAGGGAAACTGACCAATGGTCGCCGAGGGGTTAGAAATGAAGAGGAATGGGAATGGGTCAAGACCTCGCCAGGACGATTGCGAATCGAGTCTCTTTGTTTTTTAGATGGAATAAGTGGGCTCTAAGTCGTGGAAAAAGAGAACTTCGCGAGTCCAGTAGCTACCCCACCGGGCTTGCCAACGTGAAGGCCGGGCCTGTCCAGACTCTTGTTCGGCCCCAGGATGTGAAGGGCGCCTCTCGCAGCCCGCAGGCCAGGTAACTATGCCAGGCGCCGTTGCGGATTCCTCCTCCTATGCCTTAGCCCTGGGGATCATCAGGGCTGTATTGCAGTTGAGATGGAGATGGCAGTTTCCAGCTCCCTCTGGTCTTAGAATGGTTCCGTTCCCGATTACTGGTGGTGGTGGTGGATGTGGGGGTCTCACATAGCCTTCCTTTCCCGTCTCCAGCAGTCCTGACGCAGCCCGCATCCGAGTCAAGCGCTACCGCCAGAGTTTGAACAACTTCCAGGGCATGAGGAGCTTTGGTTGTCGCTTCGGGACGTGCACGGTGCAGAAGCTGGCGCATCAGATCTACCAGTTCACGGACAAGGACAAGGACGGAGTCGCCCCCAGGAGCAAGATCAGCCCCCAGGGCTACGGCCGTCGGCGCCGACGTTCAGTGCCCGAGGCCAGCTTGGGTCGGACTCTATTACAGCCTCCAGAGCCAAAGGCGCGAGGTGCCCCAGACTCCCGGGTGCATCAAGTATTTGCCACGCTCCTTAGGATTTAGGCGCCTGGGCAGCAGCGAACAGTCGCGCACGCATCTCGCCGGCACCTCTCAGGCGGGAGGGCTTCTGCGCGCCGAGCCCCTCACTCAGCCTATGGGCCCGGGCTGAGAACAGCCCTGAGAGACCGAGGGTCCAGGAGGCGCCGTCCGGCAGCCAGCGAGCACTGGCTTTGCAGGAACCCGTCCTCCTCGGAGGGGAGGCAACGTTCTCGTCACCCTAATTGGGGCCAGGTGCCCAGGGTGGGGAGGTGGGTGCAGAGGGAATCCAAAGGAGCGTCGTCTGCCAGGCTCACGGAGAGGAGAAACTGCGCAACAAACGCTGAGACCCTCAGCGGCAAGGGTCTGAGCCACTGCCGTGCCCGCCCACAAACTGATTCCTGATGGGGTGTCACCCCGCCGGGGCGCGAGCCTCACTATTACTTGAACTTTCCGAAACCTAGAGAGGAAAAGTGCAATGAGTGTTGTATATACAGAGGTAATTATCAATATTTAAATTTGTTGTCAAGATTTTTTTTTGTAACTTCAAATATAGAGATATTTTTGTACGTTATATATTGTATTAAGGGCATTTTAAAGCAATCGTATTGTTCCCCTCCCCTCTATTTTAAAAAGTGAATGTTTCAGCGAGATGCAACGTTGTTTGCTGCGTGGAATGTGAGAGTGTGTGCGTGAAAGAGATGAGTTGCCTCTTGTGGAAGAAGAAAACACCATGTCTGTATAATCTATTTACATAAAGTGGGTGATTTAAGAAGTAGCAAACCAATAAACTGTCTCAATGCTGATTCATTCCCGGGTCACGAGTCTTGGGAGGGAGAGTGTCCCGGGTCTTGGTCTGCCGGGGAGCCTTGGGGTCCGGCCGCCTGGCGTGGGAAGGTTAGGACGGCTGCGCTGGCTGGTGCTGGCGGCTCTCCGCGCTGGCTGAGCTGCCAGAGTAACCCTCTACGGTGGGACTCGCGGAGCGCGTTTTGCTTGCCGGTAGGGGCTTCGCAGAGATGTTCCAGGTCCCATCTTCGTGGGGCAGGGGGGCCGGGTAGAGTAGGGTGAGCCCTTAGTGGAAAGGTGAGACTGGACTCTCTCGATTGCGCAAGAGTCCCAGATTTTACGGAGTCGCTCACGTAAACCAGCGCGAAAGCGCGCCTCGGAGAGTTGGGGTGGTCTCCGAGGCTTTCCAAATGAGGAGTTTCCCCCTGCCTCAGCGGTGCTAAAGTTAGAAGCGACTGCAGCAAGAAGTGCGGGTTCCTCCGGGAAATGCTTAGCCGGGCCAGTTAAGCCCAGTTCTCTCCCGGCCCGGTGCCCCAGCGAGTCCACGGGCTCATAAGCGATGCTGCGGCGCCCCCAGCCGGCCGCCTCCGACGAGCCAGAGCGCCGTCAGGCGGTACGTGCGGTTTAATAAGTCCTCCTACGTGGGAGTCAGCACACAGCCTTAATGAAAGAGGAAAGAAAAAAACAGTTCGCAGATGCCAGCCAGGACCGCCCCCCCCAGACCTGTACCGTGGCTCCCTGTTCTGGGACCGTGACTCAGCGCCCACACGCTGCGCCGCGTGCAGCTGCTGAGCCGAGTCGGGCCGGACGGACGTGCCGCCGGAACCGTGCGCCTGCGACGGCCTGAGACCTTCATTGTTCCGCCTCTCCTTGCCGCTCTCCTCTTCCTTCCTCCTTCCCAAGACTTTTTCATTTTTTTCTACACTTCTCTCCCTTCTTCCTTCCTCCCCATTTGCTTAAATTTATACCTAATCATCTTAGACGGTTGACCCCAGTTCTGGTGATACAAGCCGGACACTAAGCTCCAGTGAGTGACTAGAAGGGCAGGGGACCTTGAAATAATTCCGACAGAAGAGGAGGATAGGGGAAGGCACCCTACTATTGATGTCCCTGTCCCATTGGTCTCAGTCAGCATCCTGGAGACCCAGGATGGAGTCCTGCTCCCTGCCTTCCCACTTTAAAGCGTGACTAAAACGTTGGTGCTTCTGGGTGATCTCAGAAACCTTCCTGGTGAAGAAAATCTGAGGGTGAGTTTGAATAATAAAAGTGTTTCCAGGGCAGCCTACCTTGTTTTTGTTTTTGCATCCATTGCATACCACAAGGTCCCTTCTGAGGGCCTAGAATAGTTCCTTTCAGAAAAAACCTGAGTGACGTGAAAGAGGGCCAAGGTCTGGGGTCCAGAGATCGCCTGCTTCTGAAGCAGGTTCCAATTCAAAGAAAGTTAGATCCTAGTATGTGGAATGTCTTTGAAGACCATCTGATGAGGCCTCTGTTTTGAGCATCTGGCTGTTGAACCTGTAGTCTTCATATAGTTCATTGTCCTATTTGATCTTAATTTTATGAGGTTTGTTAGGATTCTAGGGATTACAAATGCAGCAAGAGCCCATCCTGTCCTCAAGATCCTTCTAGTAAAATTCACTTAGAGGGAGCTCTGTGCCAGGCACTGCACAAGGTACAGGGGATGTATTGGAAGAGTGACTACAAAATCCAGTTTTGGAATTCCCATGCCAGTGAGTGGTTTTGAGTGGTCTGAAGGGGCTGCAAAAGCCAGAGAGCCACAAACACTTCAGCTTTGCAGACAGTGACTTGGGGTTAAATACTCACCCTTCTCCTTGAGCCAACATTTGTCCCATAGCCACAGAGCCCTTCAGCCAAACCTCATCCTGGCAGAGTTTCAGCCAGCAGGCAAAGCTGCCAAAGGCAGGTTGGGCACTAGCTTAGGGTTGTTCTGAGCAGGGAGCAGGCATTTGCCTTCTGTCCAGGGAGTCTTATGACTCCCTTCAGGGAATCCAAGGCAAGTGAAAGAGATGGTTCAGCTCTGAGATGAAGAGGCAGCTGCTCAGATGGAGTCCTTCCCAACTTAAAAAAAAAAAAAAATCTGTGATTGGAGATGTGTCTGAAAGGACAAGAGACCTTCCTTAAACCAGTCCAGTACAAGTTCTGAATTGATTGAAGGTCATCATCAAACCGTGGAGACCTTCTCTGTGAACCATCCAACCTACCTTCTGAATTTTTTTTCTTTTCAGAAGGTGTGAAAGCCTGTCAGGATAAGGCCTCTTGATTACAAGAACACATCGTTTATCAACAGTGATGAGTCATTTGTGAGCTGATCCGACCTGTCTGCGGCTGAAGAGTAGCCACAGCTTTTATCTTTAGCTACTGTTGCTGGCTGTGGGAATGGTACCACCCATTTGTAATCAAACACAATGTACCAAGCAGTTTCTTCAAAAGCTGACACCTTGGCTGAACAGCTAAGGGTGGAAGGGAATGATGGGGAGGAATGGAAACCGATTCCTTTTTTTAGCACCTGCTTTGTATCTGACATTCTCCTTGCCACTTTAATCTCTTATCTCATTTAATTCTTACAGCAGCCTTGTGGAGTGGGTGTTATTATCTCTGTTCTGTCTGCGGATAAAGAGATTGAACCTCAGAGACATAAAGTAACTAAGCCAAGGTCACACAGTGAGTAATCAGGGCTGGATTTTGGATTTGCACTTAAGTGCTACATGCTATTTTGATGCTATGAAGACATAGAGAGTAAGGTGGGATAATTTTAACATTTGTATTCTCAAGCCAGATGTCCCCAAATGTCCTCTAATATGAGGATGGCTTGGGTAGGTGATTTCCACCTGTGGTTCTGAGAGATTTACACGAGGCTGGTAGGACTGGAAACCAGAACGGCTTCAGTGGTATGCTCAGTGAGTGCAAAATAAATAAATGGAGTGAGTTTTTAAATTCTTGGACCTGGTTTGAAGCGGGGATTATAAATCAGAAATAGTCTCTTCCCCACCCCCCAAGCTAAGCTACTGACCTCTTTGGTTTTTGTTGCCAAATATAGTTAGAACATACACTGAAGACCTCAAGAGCTGGCTTCTGAGAGAAAGGCCTTCTGAGCTATTCCTGGCCAAACCCAGTCCCACACTGCAGGTCTTGAGTCGCCTGGAAGGACACCTGTGTCTACAAAGCTGCAAATAGAGCTTCCACCCTTAGGTGGAAGTTTTGTCTCTGGCAATTGCTGCCCAGGCCAGCTTTTCAGCTGACAGAGTTCTGAGTGCTGCCCCTCCTTTCCCCAGCTGGGAAGCCAAGGGCCTTGTTAGCTTGGGTCCCACAGAGCTTTTTGCCAAAGCCTGATTGGAGGCTTGGTCTTCATTTGCATGGGAAGAAGGGTGAGGCTAGATAGCTATCTGGTGGTCCCACTGGTCTTGTTCCAGAGTTATTTTGGAACGTTCTGGAAAAATAATAAAATGACTGTGACCACACAGGCAGATGAATTTACTAGGTTATTGTACATCTATCAAAAACCAAGAAAGTAGTTCTGAGTATTAAGATGAGTTTTTGAGAAAGAAATGCATGTTACTTACCATATAATATTTATTCAGTGTAAAAAAAAAAAGAAATGATTCACCTTTCATACCACTCCCCGAGAGATAACCATGACTAATATTTTAGTGTTTACCTTTTTAGACATATACACATATACACATTTTTAAAAACTGAACTTGAGTGCAGAGAGCTGAATTAAACATACTTCTCAGTTTAAGGCAAGTTGTTGTTATCCGTCTTTCCAAGGCTTCTCTCTTGTTTTAATTATTTTTCTCCTTTATTTCCCATCCCCCTTCTGGTTTCCTCCACAGGAACTGTCTTTCATATGTTTGATATTTTACTTATTCTATGTTTATAATCCTGTAAAATTGTTTTGTTGTTTTGTGACTTATGTGTTTGCATGTGCATGTGTTCTGTGTGAAGCACTTTATCATTCCAAACTTGTTTTTTCCAATTAATCAGTATCAGTTCTTCTTTTCGGGAACAAAGACCTGCGGATTTCAGGACTTAATAATGCTCAGGTTCTTGATGTCTCATCACAGAAAGAATTCGGTGAGAGACAAAGTGATAGGGTAAGAAGTGGATTGTTTAGAGAGAAATGCACTGCACAGACAGAGTGTGAGCCATCTCAGGAGAGGGCAGCCATGACTATGTGTTTTTAACATACAAGTATATTGTGTTAAAATTTTTCCTACTTT